GGGTCCTTTATTTTTGCATGGTTGACTTTACCTGTCCGTTTTCACAGTGTTGGGTGGCCTGAAGCTCGTACGGCGGCTCCACAAAGTACAGCGAGTGTCGAGGAAATCCTGGGATTATGTTGCTGAGCTGAAAGCCAAACATCACCAGCCAGCTCTTCACATCTACAGAAGGAGATGAGACAGAAAACACTCTCTGCTAAATGACACAGCGAAACATGAAAGGGAATCATCAGTTTTTTTCATAAAACTCCTGAAGAGTACGCCGCCTCTGTGACTCACACCGCCGCTCCATCTGTTACACTATTTCTCTCTTTTTTCCTCCAGAGGCCTGCAGATTACTGACATTATCACAGCTGAAGTAAAGATCAGCCTGTGTTTACTGAGATCTGAGGCATATCTTAATACTGCAGAGCAGAAAAAAAGGCCCAGCGTCCCTGTGAAGATAATTTCATGCCTAAAATCCTCATCCCATAACACTCTACCTGTGACGTAGTTCTTGACGTCCAGCATGTCGCTGAGCGGGTTGTTGTTCTTGAACATGTACAGATTAAATGGGGAGAGGTCTTTCCCGATCTTGGGCCACATGCTGTAGTCGGGGGAGGTCCAGCGCCCAGCCAATACGTCATAGTCTCGTTGGGTGAAGTGGACCAGTTTGGTGAGCGGGTCATAGAGGCCCCCGTGGAAACCCACCACCAGCGTGAACTCTGGGTTAGAGTCCAGGTAGACCTCCCCATAGGCTGTGTACTGGACCTGAGGGCAGGAGCAGCAGAAAAAGGACTAATGTTACCATAAGCTTAGTCCATTTTTTCTTTCTTTATTGTTTATTTACACACAGACAATTAAAGGTACGTACAGTATTTAAGATTTACCACCAGAGGAGTCAAAAATATTCATGTTTATTACTGCTGTATAAATCCTACTGTTTAAAAACACCTTTATAGAAGTTAAAGAACCAAGTTCAGCTTTTTACTCCAGTAAAAGTGTAAAAGAACCATTTTTAACACTACTTAAAATGTTAAGGATAGAAGCTAAACTGCATTTCTAAAGAAGAGGATTAGGGCCACTAAAAAAACAAAAAAAAGTTAACTGATTTTTAAATATTTAATATATATGTTTCAGTTGAATATGGGAAAAAGTCAGAATTCTGCCTTTAATCTCAAAATTCTGACTTTTTTTCTCAGAATTCTGTCAGCTAACAAACATGTTAGCATCAAGCCGTAGCCCTGTCTGTTTTAGAGAGTAGCTCTCTTTTTTTAATCACCTTCTGCTCTTCCATTAATCAAATAGCATCACCAGGGGCCCTCAGGCACGTAAAGGTTTGCCTAATTCCGTCATTTCGCACCTATGTGTTCCTGTTTCTCCCAAACTACTCTCATCTTTGTCAGTGAAGCTGAGTTCTCCACATCTCTGTCTTCATGGTGCCCATCTACATTAAGATCCACAATTCTGAGAATAAAGTCAGAATTCTGCGAATGAAGTCGGAATTCCGAGAATAAAGTCAGAATTCTGCGAATGAAGTCGGAATTCCGAGAATAAAGTTAGAATTCTGCGAATGAAGTCGGAATTCCGAGAATAAAGTTAGAATTCTGAGATTAAATTCAGAATTCTGAGATTAAATTCAGAATTCTGAGATTAAAGTCAGAATTCTGAGATTAAAGTCAGAATTCTGAGATTAAGGTCAGAATTCCGAGAATAAAGTTAGAATTCTGCGAATGAAGTCGGAATTCCGAGAATAAAGTTAGAATTCTAAGAAAAAAGTCAGAATTCTGTGAATAATGTCAGAATTCTGACTATTTTCATATATTAAAGTGAAATAATATGTAAAAGTCAGTTAACTGTTGTTTTTTAACAGTAGCCCTAATCCTCTTCCGTACGCTACCCTGTCAAAGAAACATTTTTCTACAATTCTAGATGAAAACTTCTGGACGGATGATCCGTCCTGGAAGCACGATCTGTCCTGTGTGTGCGCAAACAAAATAATAAGATCCGAGTCGCCCAAAACTGTAATAACGACACTAAAAATACTCATTTATATACTTAAATCATTAAAGGATGTTAAACTACATGGTATGGAAAATATTGAAGACTTTTCTGGAAGTAATGGACACGTTTTACATTCTCTCCATTGTATTGTGTGACGTCATCATGGGAAATACTCAGCGCAGTCACAGTAACGTTCCAAAGGCTATTTAAGTGTTTATTTATGCATTGCTTTTTTTTGTGTTTAGAATATGCAATATTTACGCAAATACAAAAGATATTCAAAAGGAACCCCCCCGCCCAAATAGGACAAAAAATAAAAAAAAGTAAGAAAAACAAAGTATTGTCTACCTGGAAGTTATTCTGTCCGCCCCTCAGACTTCCTTATCTTAATTTTATAAATA